GATAGAATATTTAGGCTATTTATTACGGAATAATGAATTACGCCCGTCAAAAGAAAAGATTTCAGCCGTATCAAGATTTAAAACCCCTCATAACATCAAGTCTTTGCAGTCTTTTTTAGGACTGTCTGGTTATTTTAGAAAGTTCATCAAAAATTATTCTATAATTGTAAAACCACTTACCAATTTATTGAAGAAAGATATTGAATTAATTCAATTTTGATGAAGAGTGCGAAATGGCTTTCAATGAATTGAAAAGAATATTGTGTAGTTCACCTGTGTTACGAATTTACGATCAAGAGCCAGTAACAGAACTGCACACAGATGCTAGCGCAGAAGGCTATGGCGCCGTTCTGTACAAAAAAGTCCTGCAGATAATTAAATGCATCCAGTCTACTACATGAAAAAAAAACGACACCCGCTGAAATAAAGTATCACAGCTATTACTTGGAAATACTAGCGATTGTTGAAGCTCACAAGAAATTCCGTGTCTATCTACTGCGAGTAGGAATTCATTTTAAAATAATAACAGATTGTTCTGCTCTACTAAAACATTACAGAAGAAAGACTTACCTCCACGTGTTGCTCGATGGGCTCTGCTCCTAGAAGAGTATAATTATGAGATAAAACACGGGTCAGGATACTTAAACATGCTGACGCATTAAGTTGAAATTCTGTCTGCTTGATACTTACCAAAGCTGCTGCCCGCTTGAAGAGAGCTCAAGACGACGGCCCTCATATCAGTCTGTTAAAAAAAATGTTAGAAAAAGAACCCTATCAAGATTATGAATGAAAATGAAAATGAAAAATATTTTATTAACAGAAAAATATGTACAAAAGGTAATATCTGTTGGTTTCCTCACTAGGCAAGCCTGTATCGAGGAAACCTGAGACCAAAGTTCACATGGCATTATTTTATACATCTTATCAGACAATAATATACCTACTTAATATACCTACACAAAATAGCAATAAAAGAACTGCATTATGCTAAAAATCTAAAAACATAAAAAAAGAAAGGAACCTTTAACTACCAAGCCAAGTTTTATATAACTGCAATGTATTAACTATATATTATGTATTTACATTTAAAAAAGAAAAAGAAAATAAAATTAAAACAACAACAATATTTACCTAAAAAAAATTCACAAATACCATCAATTAGAAAAAGTCAGTTTTTATCAATTGTTCTGTTTCCTCATATGATAGGGTGACCAACCATTTCTTTATGATTAATTTTGCTGATGCATATTTTTTATTTATAATATTACAGTGTTTGACGACTTTATTATAAATTTGTCTTTTGATAAAGTCGCCAAAACGTTGGGCAAATTTTGTATTGACAGAAGGTATGGATAGTTTATATACCCTGCGATTTGTCAGTAGTTTGTGGTCATTTGAAGATAATATGTATTTATGTACTGCTAAAGACGTATTCAGCACAAAGAGTTGACGTACAGTAAGTACTCCGGCATCTTGGTATACACTTGCAGTGGGGTATCTGTACGGTTTTCCTAGCATTGCCTTTAAAACTGCCCGCTGTGCTCTCTCAATCTGTACTAAATATGTTTTGGATGCACATCTCCAACATGTGATGCAGTAAGCTATGAGCGATTGACAAAGGGCGTAATACACAGACTTTAATATTGCCTTATTTGTTATATAATATAGCTTTCTCATTATATGGATAATCCTTCTTATTCGGTTTGAAAGAACTTCTACGTGCGATTTAAATCTCAAATTTCCGTCAACAAGTACACCGAGATATTTTATAACTTTAACCTGCATAAGAGGCTCACATGAACAGCGCGGATATGTCGCATGACTCTTTATGAATTTTATATTCAAATCGAACTTCGGACAGGATGCATTTGTTTTATGAAAACATACGTACATCGTCTTTTTTGAGTTTAATGTTAGTAAATTATTCCGTAGCCACAGAGAAATTTGCAACATACCTCGCTCAGCGATAGGACAAACAGATTTCCATGAGGGTCCGTGAAAAACGACCGCGGTGTCATCGGCATAGCATATAATGTCAGCATTTTCAAGTGTTATATCATGGATGTCATTAATATATAAGATAAATAATGTAGGTCCCAAAATGCTACCCTGTGGAACTCCAAAACTGACATTTTGTAAGCTACTGAGAAACTTACCAATTTTTACGCACTGTTTGCGATTTGTTAAGTAGCTTTTAAACCACTCCAAGGCCACCCCTCGAATACCTGTGTTTTCTAGTTTTTTCAAGAGAATAGAAATAGATATGGTATCGAAAGCCTTGGATAGGTCCAGAAATATCCCAATACAGGATTTTTTTTTCTATCAAGATGCGCGGACAGAGTGGTCGTTAGTAGATTTACCGCGTCTTCGGTGTTTTTACCCTTACGAAAACCAAATTGTTTTGGAGAGATACAGTTGCATTTCTCCAGATAATTCACAAGGCGTTTATTTACTAGTTTTTCAAGTAATTTTGAAAATACAACTAAAAGCGAGATGGGTCTATAGTTGTTAACAGAATTTTTAGGTCCTTTTTTTATAAATTGGGCAAATCGATGCGGTTTTCCAACTATCAGGAAAGATACCGCTTGAAAGACTGAGGTTAAAAATGTATGCAAGCGGAGTCATAATTTCGTGTTTGATAAATTTTACAAGCGTGTTGCTAACTCCGTCTATACCCGGTGCCTTATTATCTTGCAACTGACATATAAGTTTTCCAATTTCTTCATGATCGGTGGGATACATGAAAAACGAATTCATTTGTGGATTTGGAGTTCGAACGGACTTTGCCAGATCAGCCTCATTTAGCTTCATATGAGAGAGAATATTTTCTGCGAGTTTTTTACCAGCAGAAGAAAAATGATTATTTGTGAAGTCGATTGATTCTTGCACGTTTAGACCATCTAGTCTTAACAATTCTTTGGGTTCATTTTTATTACGTTGAAGGTGACAGATATTTTTGATTGACTGCCACATCTTTTTCGGGTTATTTTTGTTTTCAATAAGAATTTTATTTTCATATTCAGTTTTAACCTTGCGTAATAAATCTATAAAGAAATTTTGATATCGGGTATATATTTTTTTTAAAGGTTTTATTTTCCGGATCACTCCGAGATTGTAGATGCAGACGATCACGGACGCGCATACAACGAATTAAACCTGGAGTTATCCAAGGTTTTATGTTATACTTGGCTCTACTAATTTTAACTTCTTTGGTATGTTTGTTTAGGACATCTGTAATGTGTTTTGTGAATATTTCATTAGCTATATTTACATCAGATATATTGCTTAAAATAGACCAGTCGATGTTTTTAAGGTTATCTTTTATGGCATTAAATCCCTTTTAGATGTGAAACGAGTAGGTCTAGGAGGCTTAAATTTTTTGGAGTTCAAACCAAGCATAACTGGAAAGTGGTCTGTAATGTCACATTGGCATACAATGCCATGTAGTGCTTGGCAACTATCCAAGTTTCTGACGTATATGTGATCAAGGCAAGCAGACTTCCTAGTTGGATGTACTATGGCTGGAGTGAATCCGTGTTCGGCCATAAAGCACTGATACTCTAAGCTTTGTGGAGTACATATATTTTTCATTATATTTATGTTTATGTCGCCAGCAACGATGTAGGGAAGACTATTTATTTTATTAATGTGCATTTCAAGGGATACTAGGAATTTTTCCAGATTCTTAAAAGATGGTGAACGATATATTCCAAGAATATTTAACTTTTCGGGTATTTGAACAAATAGGCAATCGGCTTCATCAAGGAATAGTTCCGAAACTGTGGCATGCCATATATCACTTAGGTATACGACAACCCCGCTATTTTGATTTAAGTGCCTATGCGTTTTAAAAGCGTTATATCCAGGTATTTGCGGAATTATTATACCATCGTAGAGCCAACATTCGGTCAGAATTATGATATCCATGGAAATTTCTAAACGTTGTAAGGCTACCATTAAAGTATCAAAGTTCTTTCCTAGGCTTCTTATATTGAGACAAAATAGCTTAAACGTAAATTCCGGAGTGATGACATGTTTACAATCACATAAATCTTTTATAATTTCACACTTAACCTGCATTGAGTCTAATTCAAGGCCCAGGTTTTCAGTCACAATCATTTTTGCAGTTGAATTTTATCCGAAAACCGGTATAAGTTGGCTAATATGAGCCAAAACATTTTTACACTTAAAAAACTTGGTTTCTTTACTTTAGGAAACAAAAATAAGGACTTGTAAAAAGTGAAATTTAAAATAATATCAAAATAACAAAAGGGTTTACAGTTATACATACATACATTTTTAGCAAAAACAAAGTCATGTAAGGTAGCTGACATTAAGTAAACTTCATCAATCCTTGGTCTTTCATAATTATGTAGATCATTACGTTTATCATTATGTACTCTAGACTGTGGAAGTGGGTGGAAGCAGACGGTCAAGATCCTTGTGCGATTGAATAAGCTGAGCAGATTTACCTTCACGTTGCCTGACGTAAATAAAGCCTTGATTACACCAACAGAATGTGTATCCGTGTTGCTTGGATCTTTGTCTAGTGTCTCGAAATAACACTCTGTTTTCTTTGGTAAGCCTTTCATTAAAATAAACTTTCCGGTTTAGACCAGCTACTTCCAGGTCAGAACTGTTTATGTTTCTTCTTAACTTTGCAGCTTTGAGGATTTGATCCCGTTTAGATCGACGCAGAAATTTAACGACCACTGGCCGCGGCATATTGCCGCTATCTTCTGGTAGAGCAACGGTTTTCGGTGGTCGGCGTGGGCCCACACGAGTAACCCAATCTAAGTCTTTATCTTCTAGGTCAACTCCCAGTTTCGTTGCTGCTACAAGTATGGTATGATTCAGATTTTCACCCAAGTTTTCAGGAATTCCTACAATTTCTACTTCATTTCTCATATTCTGTTGAGCTTGTATTTTTAGTTCATTTTGCAGTTGTGACACTGTAACCTGCAAATTTTGGACGTCTTCATCACGTTTTTCTAAGTATTTTATTTTCTCATTGGTGGTTGCGAGATGTCCATTCGCTCGTTTGTATAAGAAATTGATTGGGTCAGGTCATTTAATTTCGTTTTAACGGAGCACAATTCACTGGTAAGGAGGCGCAGCTGTTCAGTGAGTTGGGTTATTTCAGACCCCACAGAGTCCTGCTTTTTACGTGTGGTAATATTTTCAGAACCACCTCGAACTGGAGTAAGACTGTTATCCCCACCTTTTTTTTGCGCGGCATTGCATTCGGGACATTTCCAAATCTTCCGCTCAACAGTGAGTATTGGAGCATTTATACACACTGAGCAAAAAATTTTTTCACATGCAGTAGAGGTACATTTACTAATACCGGCATTGTCTCTAATAGGCTTCAAGCAACCAGCGCACTTCATTATGCTGCTTTAATTTACAGACCCCGAAAAAAGTACAATTTTATGGTGTTAGTAGCGCGTTTATCAGCGATAATACTACTAATGAAGATGGTGCACACGACTTTCACGGTTAAGTATAGCGCGTAACCGTGAAGATGCCACGTACCGGGTCGATGACTTTTTACCCTCGCTCTTTTCTTAATATTGTTGATATATGTTGTAATATTGTGCTAATATTGCTTTAACTTGCGTTGAATAAGTCACAGCAAAACTTAAGGAAACACGTTGTATGTCTATATTATATTATGGAAAGAAGAATATTATGCAAAGAGAAAGATGGTACGAGACTTATTTTAGTTCCAAAGAAAATGCAGAACGAAGTAATAAGGAAGAAGCATGATTATGGACATTTTGGGGTTAGAAAAACAGAAGAGCTTGTGAGTCGAGAGTATTATATTGAGAATATAAAGGAGAAGATTACAAAAGTTATAGATAATTGTGTAGAATGTATTCTGATTGAACAGTAAAAAGGAAAGATAGAAGGATTCTTACATACATTAGACAAAGGTGATGTCCCGTTGTTGACGTATCATCTTGGTCCATTTACATCTACTAATAAAAATTATAAGTACATTTTTACGGTAGTTGATGGCTTTACCAAATTTACTTAGATCTATCCTACAAAATCTTTGTCTACAGATGAAACGTTGGACAAACTAAGAGTGCAACAACAAACCTTTGGTTCCCCTTAAAGGATTATTTCCGATCGTAACGCCGCATTTACTTCAAAAGAATTTCAAGACTATTGTGAACAAGAAGGTATAACTCATTATACAATTACTACAGGACAACTCCGCAGAAACGGGCAAGTAGAAAGAATCCACAAATCATAATAAGTGTTATAAGTAAATTGAGGGCTGATGATCCGACGAAGTGGTATAAACAAGTTTCCAAAGTGCAACGCTGTCTGAATAGTACATGGCAAAGAAGTATTGGAATGACTCCATTCGAGTAACTTTTTGGAACCAAAATGATAGATGAGAATGAAGAAATTATGAAATTAATAGAAGAAGAAGAAGAAGAAGAGTTAAGAACTATAATGAGCAAAGGAATGAACTAAGATTAAGGGAAAAAGAGTTAATACTAAAGATCCAAGAAGACAACGTTAAAATTATAATAAAAAAAGAAAAAACACTACCGAATACAAAGTTGGCGACTTGGTTGCTATTAAACGAACACAATTTACTCAAGGAAGTAAATTGTATCCAACTCAACATTATATTAATATAACAACTCAAATTATATTGTAGATACTTATATCTAGGACCTTACGCAGTGACAGCCAAAAAGCATCATGAAAGGTACGCTGTAAGAAAAGTTGGTGAATGCGAATGGCCCATCAACACAACAACCTCGGATGAACTCATGAAGCCATGGGTCATGGAATGATCGGGACGACCGTGTGGGAGAAAGTTTATTTTTAATCTGTTTTTATGTTAGTTTTTAATCATGGCATGGCAACACTTTTGGGTAGTCTGTGGTTACGACGATTAACATTGTAAAGAGGCTAAGCAGTTTTATTAAAGATTTTGTGTTTAATTCGACCATTGGTGTAGTGGTGGTAGTAGTGCAACTGCTAATCATGAGGTCCTGGGTTCGAATTCCGGGTCGGGCCAAAAAACCGATTATCGAGATTTTCTGTCGAAAAATTCTCAGTAGTTGTCCGGAGTCAGGAAGTTAGCGATGTCTCACTCCCGTGCCTATAAAAAAATACAAATAAACACTTAATATTTAGTGGAAATAAATAATAATTAAATATTTCTACACGAAACTTAATTACAAAATACCAATCAATATTGGGGTCTTCATTTAAGCAAATAATGCTTGTGTTTGGGAACCCCGCTCTTCCTCTAAACATATATTTTTTAATTAAAAAACCAAAAATGCAAAAACTAACTACTCTATTTTAACAACCAAAAATTAGTGGGTGTGTAGAGAAAGAATTATTATGTTATATAGTGCACATAACAGCGAATTATGAAATGTGGTACAGCAGAAATTCAGTTTCGTCGTAGGTTTTCGGCTGCACCCAATATGTTTAATTCTCTATTTATTTTGTTACATCGGATTGCAGAACATGATCTGAATTTCCTACTAGCAAATAATATTTTGTTATAAGAAGATACAGCTACAACATTTTTTCGCCACTTTTTCAAGATGCATGGGTCAAAGGGTAGGGACTTGTTTGCTTTGAGGGTTGTCATAATAACATATAATTATCTAACTGAGAGTAGACCACTTATTTAATACAGTTGTTCAGTGGAAAAACGTCGTTTTTATTACACATGACCTTAATAAGGGTTCGTTGGGATCTTTCCAAGTTGAGAAATTTGGGCTTTGCAACTCTCTGATTCTATAATTCTTCTATTTAAGTAGGTTAAATTCTACCACTAACGGTAACACAATATGGGGCTAAAATTTTAATGGAAATATTTAGACGAGATTTATAATGTGATATTCCTCAGACTACTCAAAAGGGTAAACAAATTACTCTAAGACATTGAATAGAAGAATTAAACCTTCAGAATGTAAAAATAGGTTTTTTTTAGTTATTTAAAGTAAGTTTTAATTTTAATTAAGGAATATGACGACGTTAGTTATTTGCACCGAGGCTAAGGCCTCACACAATTTATGTCATGTACGGTAAGCGATCATGCGGGAAATTCGGCAATCTACTTCGAGTTTTCCTTAATTCCTGTCATTATGTCTATACTAAGCTCGTTACGGGAACGCATTCCGCTTAGTACAAAGCAAAACTATAATTGAATTTAATGACGTAATCAACATACATTTTCAAGCTGAATTCGTTCCCATGCAGTTAATTTCTATTGTATTTCCATAAAATTTTAGAATCTTACATTGTTATTTCATAGTGTGTATATAATAACCGAAATCCCTTTTATAACAAAAATCAGTTTATAATTAATCTCAAGTTCAAACTAGTCTTTTTTATAAAGAAGAGGTAAAATTATTTTTTCTGGTCATTTATTTCGTCAGTTGCTAATGTTCACAAAGAGAAAAAGAGTGACCATTTGTTACAAAGGTCTAAGTCGTGTGCCACGCTAGCGCGAAGCGTCTTGCGTCTGCGATGAGCGGGAAAAATAACAACACTGAAGAACGGGAGGTGCTACGTTGGCGCGACTGGCGTGCGCGTCAAGCAACCGCGACCAGCGGAGGACGTAGTACGTGTTCGTGCGTCTTTCGGATTAATTAACACATGTTGATTTTTCCGCAATGCAAAATATAATTAAGGAGACGTTTATTAGCAAAATAATGTCTCAGAATGCAATATGGTCTAGAAAGCTTGAAAATTATATGCATATTATTATATTTCTCAAAAGTTTTGTGGGTAACGGGTCAAATTAGGAATACCCTTAACCGACGAGCATGTATGCGTTGGTATATGGATGTGAAGGAGGCGAGATTGGTGTGTCAGGATCGTACCAAATGGAAGTCTGAAGTCTCTACTTACCCCTCTGGGTGACAGGTGTGAGTGTTTATGTTATTATGTTATGGGTTTTGACGTATCATTTCATCATACAGTCTACGATATATTAAATAAAACTCATGTAGTGGTTTTTTATTTTTGCGGTTTGAACGTACTAACTCTTTATTAAATAATGGTAAGTTATAGACAAGTTATTATTTTTATACGACCATAGATTACAAATAACATCTCTACTTATAAAAATACTGACAACCCAAAGATACATACAAAAATAAAAGTTTCCAGAAATAAATTACTTATTTTATTTTTGACATGTTATTCATAAATTTGTACACAGGCTTTTTGTTAACATATCCGCTGGCATCTCAGCAGTAGGTAAATAGGATATTTGTATTAAATTATTTGCTAAACACTCCCTAACAAAATAATGCCTAACATCAATGTGTTTTGTCCTTCTATGGAACAAAGGATTAGATGCTAACTTCTGTGAACGTTGGTTATCACTTAATAAAAAACAGGCATATTATAACTTTATTAATACTAATTTATGACACTAAAATTTTAAGGTAAATTGCCTCCTTACATACCTCAGAGAGAGCCATGTATTGGGCCTCAGTACTTGACAATGCAACAGATTTTAGTTTTCTGCAGTCATAAGATGTTGGACTTCCAGACATGGTAAAAATGAAGCCAGTATATGACTTTCTGTCTATGGCACATGAAGCCCAATCTGCATCAACATAACCTTTAATATCACTATGACCTTTTACACACTTTACATAATGTTTAATTTTATTTAAATATTTAAGACCCGTTTTAAATGTTTCCAATGTTTCAGATTAAAAAAAAATATTATATTGACTAAGGAAACTTATAGCACAAGCTATATCTGGTCCAGTTAACATACATAAATTCATAATGATTTCTTAAATTTACGCGAACACTACACATTGAATAAAACTAAATTTACGGATTCTATCGCGTTTATTTAACTGATTTTACTTATTTTTAATTCCCGACGTTTCGGGTGCTTTACATCAACCATGGTCACGGGGGGACTGAGATGTTTGACGTCCCAATGTCATTGTTAGCCTTCAGTTTATGAATATTAATTTTTGGTCCAATTTACGCAAAACGAACTTACAGTATCTTGAAGTCTTGCAGTGGTATGCTTGGGTTTAGGTTTAATTTTGTTAATTATAGGATCCCAAGTAGATGGCAGCACCCAACCATCTTCTCTATTGAAATTAGGATGTTTTTTTTTTTAATTTCAATAGCCTCACGTATCATCCTTGGTAGGAATCGGTGTTCTTTTGCAAAGATTTGTGGTTTATCAAATCTGATGTAATGGTGGGGACGATCTTGAACATGTTCACAGACTGCAGACTTCCCGGAGCGTCGGTGCTTCACGTCAGCTATATGTTCTTTCACGCGGGTTTTTATGGATCTTTTTGTTTGACCTATGTAAGAGAGACCACACTCACAATCTAACTTGTACACTCCTGCATCTTGT